GTTTTGAATTTAATAGTATAAATAGTAGTAGAAATAATAGTAGTTTAATTAAAATATATATTTTTTATTATTTTGTAATATATATAATAATTATTCATTACATTTCTACAATTTTCATCTTAAAATTTCGTAAAATTAATTAAAATCACAAGTTAATTATTTTTCAGTAAAATTTTGAATTAATATGTATAAAGGTAGAATTAAAATAGTAATAAACATTTATTCTACGTATATATACATTATTCATATTATGCAAAAATATATTTATACAATGATAACTAAAGAAACAAAGTGATATATTATATCGAGTTTACCGAGTTAATTGATAGGAAATATTTTTTCGCTTTTTATTTTATCATTCAAATTTAATATTTAAAAAATATATGAAATAATATATGAAAATATTTATGAAAAAAATAAATTTTTTAAATTCAAAAATAATTTAATTTATTGATTAATTAATTATTATAATGATTAATATTTAATTAATTGATCAATATGTAATGTTGATTATTTAAATCGAAAAAAATATAGATTTAATAAATCGTTATTTAAATAAAAGTTATAAATTATGTTTTATGTTATAATATACACATTAAAAAATTAAATTCAGGTTTATCAAATGATTAATACATTTCATTTTATATTCCAGATGTATTATAATTCATGTTGCATAGCAGATGTACATATACATATACGAGATGTTCAAATCTCGTTTAATTTGTTATACATAATCGGACATAAATTATTTATACAAAAAATGCATATATTGTTTACATATCGAGTTGAAAATGCAAACTGTGACATAATATTGATGAGTATAAATAAATTTGTTGGATCATTCTTCATATAAAAATATGATAGCACTTCTCTTTAAATTAAAATTTTTAATATATTGAGATTGATATCAAGAGATTATTTGGATTATTTATTTAAATAAATATCGCATAAACAAAAAAATGGACATATTGAAATATTTCGATTCAACGCAAAACATGCGTTATTAATATATTGTAAGAAATCCATTCCCGGCTTTTAAACGTATAAAGATTTACAAAAACTTCTTAACAGTATTTTATACCAGCTGCTATTCAACTTATAGATGAGATCATATCTCATTCTTCGAGGAAGAAGTATTGCCCAGCTTTTTTTTGTTCCAAGTCCTATTAACAATAAAATAAAATAAATTTTTAAAAAATGAACATATAAAATATTAAATAATATTTAAAAAAAAAGATTATTTAAAGTAGAAAGTAACATACTTTCACAGACTGACTTTTATTAATTCTTGGTCTAAAATTGTTTGGATCTCTTCTAAATGTAATACCTAAAAGTTCTAAAAATCTATTCATTCCATTTAATAGAGACTGTGGACTATGAGCTGTAGTTGCTAAAGATGGAGTACCAGAAAATACAATTACACGATCAGCCAAATATGTAGCCATGATAAAGTCATGTTCTACTACAAATCCTGTTTTCTTTGCATGTAAAATGAACCTAAAATAATGACATGTTTCAATATTTTTTATTCAATATATGATTCTTTAAAATAATAATTCGTTAAAATCATAAATGTAAATAATAACAATATTCAATTTTAATGTTTCAATTTTACCGTTTTATTACTTTAGCAGCAACTAAACGTTGTTCAGAATCCAAATAAGCAGAAGGTTCATCAATTAAATAAACATCAGCAGGTTTTCCAAGACATAAAGCTAAAGCCACTCGTTGTAATTCTCCTCCTGAAAGATTCTGTACTTCCTGGTCCATAATATCATCTATTTTTAGTGGTTTCATAACATCTGTTACAAATTGAGGATGAACATAAGCATCCCTAATTTTTTCATGTAATAATTGACGAACAATTCCTTGAGATTTAGGACTAATTTTTTGTGGTTTATAACTAATATGTAATTGAGGAATACTTCCTAAAAAAAATCAAATTCAAAATATCAAGTATTTGATATAAGATTTTCATTTAATAATATAATTGATAATTGTATTAAAATATTTTTTAATTACCTGATCCATCATCAGGTGGTAAGTTACCAGCTAACATTCTAATGAATGTTGTCTTTCCCGTTCCATTTTCACCAAGTAGCACAAGAATTTCTGAGTCAGTAAATTGACCTTTTTCAACATTTAATTTAAAAGAACCCATTGTTTTTGTCATCGCAGGATATTCGTAATGATTCATGCGTTTGACTTCTTCTTCTGTTGCACTTTCTGCGACTTTAAATACAAGAGATTCCTCACGGAACCTTAAATTTTCTGTTGGTACGAAACCATCAAGGAAAATATTTATACCTTCTCTAACAGAAAAGGGCATAGTAACAACACCATATGCTCCAGGAACACCATAAAGACAACAAATAAAATCAGACAAATAGTCTAAAACCGATAAATCATGTTCCACTACTATTATAAACCTGTTAAATTTTAATGATATTTTATATAAGTAAAAAATTTTTTACATTACAATTTCATTGCATTAATTATTGATACCACTTACTTATCGGGATGAATAAGAGATCGAATCGTCAAAGCTGCATTAAGACGTTGCTTTACATCTAAATATGAAGATGGTTCATCAAACATAAAAATATCTCCATTTTGAATGCATACCATAGCACATGCAAAACGTTGAAGTTCTCCACCAGAAAGTGCATCAATACCTCTATCGCGTATATGCATTAAATCTAAAAAAAATTTAATAATTTTTAATAAAATAAAAATTAATTTTTTTTATCTGATTTTAATCATTTTATCAATTTCTTTAAAATATTTTAAAAATACAAATCTTTAAAACAATTATATAAACTTACCTAACATTTCACAAATTTCTAATTGATTTTTACACTCATCTTTTTTGTCTAAAAGCTGTTGTACAGTGCCTTTTACAGCTTTAGGAATTTGATCTACATATTGAGGTTTAATAAGAGCTTTTAAATCATCTTCCAAAATTTTGGTAAAATAATTTTGCAATTCACTACCTCTAAAATGACTTAATATTTCTGTCCAATCTGGTGGATCCTGCATTAAACCATAATAAAAAAAAATTAAATGTAGAAAATAAAATAAATCACATGAAGAAAATATGTATTATACATACAGAAAATCGACCTAAATTAGGCTTTTGCTTGCCTGCTAAAATTTTAAGAGCAGTTGATTTTCCAATTCCATTAGTTCCAACCAAACCTAATACTTCTCCAGGTCTTGGAATAGGCAGTCTATGTAGTTTAAATGAATTCTTTGAATAACGATGTGTAGTTTCTTTCTCTAAATTACTAGGAAGATTAATGATAGATATTGCCTCAAATGGACATTTCTACAAAAAATAAAATAATAAATATTAATATATTCTTAAAACATTTAATTATTAATATGTATTATTATTATCATCATTATTATTAATGAACATGTATATTAATTTATATTTATAATATATAATTAATTTAAATATAATATTACATTATATGTTTTTATTAATAAATATAATATTAATTAATAACATTAATTTATTGCTTAAAAAAAACATTAATTAATTTTAAAATTATTTTTATATAATACATTAAAAATATTTTTAAAATTTTAATAGTAATAACATTATTTATTATACCTTGACACATATACCACATCCAATACATAATTCTTCAGATATTGATGCTATCTTACTATTTGGATTAACTTCTATGCAAAGTTTTCCCATTCTTACAACTGGACAAGATCTTTTGCATTCTTGTCTGCATCGTTTTGGTTTACATTTATCAGAATTGACAATAGCAATACGAGTCAATCGATCAGTTTCCTCCATTGATTTTTTTGGTGGCATGATGGTAAAATATTTACCTGTCTGAAAGTGTTATTACAAAACTTAAATTTAATAACAGAATAATTAAAATCTATGAACTCCATTAATTTTTTAACATTGAATTAAATGTTAAATTAAAATAAAAACACAATATTAAATTAAAAAAAAATAAATAAATATTAAAATTAGATATAGATTTTTATATAAATGCAAAAAATGTAAAATAAACCATTTAAAAATGTACACAAAAAATCAAAATACATATAATGTATTGAAAATAATTAAAAATTGTATTATATTTTAGAATTTTAATATATTTATATTGCATATTATATTTTGATAATAATCAAATAATCTTTTAATGTTTCAAAGTTTCTTTTTAATAATAAATAGTTAAATTACTTAAAAAGTAATTCAACATATGTTCTTCTTAAATCCTATTAGGAACAAATAATCACTCCTTCAATTAGGGTATAAAATGAAAGACACTATATTGATATTAAACATATTATACAATAATTTCCATATATTTTCATTTACTCAAAATGTTTAATACATGAAAATACAATGCTTAATATTACCACGAGTTCCTAACCTCAAGTAATTAATAATAAAACATGCTAATATAATAATACTTCATAAATATATCGCATATTTGGTAAAAATAATTTTTTCGAAATATATTATTCTATTACTTCATAATATTTAATGCAGACGTGTACAAGTATATACCTGTCAAAACCAAAAACGTGGAGGAAACTCCTTTATAAGCTTTTCGAAGGAGCTTCCGTACTCGTACACCACCACATGCCCGAACTTCAATCATAGAATGTTGAAATGTAGACTATGTACTTAATGAAATATAAATATTTTTTTTAAATAATTTTCATCTATATATTATAATAATTATAAAATTTTTTCAACTAATAAAACTTTTATATTCTTAATCTATGAATTATATATTATTATAAAACTTTATATATAATTTAGTTTACTGCAGTGATTTTTAACAAATTTTATAAGTTATATATAATTCATTATTCATAAATTAAAAATTAAATATGAAAATTATATCTTGTTTTGAATATTTTCTTTACATTTTTATAAACAAATAAATAAAGTAACTCATAATTATTATATAAAAAAACATACGCACAATAAAATGAATTGAATGAAATTGTTATAAATTTGACTTTTCGGGTGTTTCCAAAAATTGTTTGCAATATACGCCATCTAAGTTGGTATATTGCATCTCTCATGAAGCATTATAAAGATTTATTCTGAAGTTTTAAGCATAGGATAGTAGAAATTATATACTTATATCTTCTGATTTTGTAGTAAGTATTGTCTCAAAATAATATAATTTTATTTTTTTGAGATATTAGTTTTTCGTATTTTTAACAATATATTACTGATATACATGAACAGATATTAGCTTAACCATATTTGATTTTAAAACAGGTGTCATATGATAGTTCTTGATATGTTTTTTATTTATAAAGTAGAATTTAGTTATGATTGTTAAATATTAATATATCAAAATGTATTTTAATACTTATAATCTATATATATCGTTATACGTAAGAATTTTCTGTTTATATATATTAATTTTTAGAATTTTATATGTTATAAAAAATGGCGGTTTTATGTAAATATTTCTTTCTTTTATAAATCTTTTAATTTCTTGTTAAAATTTATTATTATTTTTGTATTGAAATATCTTTATAAAATTCTTATAAACTATATACTATAATTATATTTAGCTTTTACAATTTAATTTTCAGTAATATTTATATTAACTTTCAATTTTAAAAAATAGTTAATAGTTTTTAAAAAAAAATATCATTTTTATATTATATTTTTTTTTTTTGCATATTTAAGATTATTCAAAATTTTTCAATTATTTAGTTTTTAACATTTTTTAATTGATTTTGGATTTTATGTATAAATATGTATATATTAATATATTAATATATATTTTTAATTTATATTATATATATATATATATAGCTATTACATTAAGTGGAATGGAGCGAAGTATTCATGAAATGTTAAAAGATGCTCCATCTTTAAATGATAGTGATAGTGCAGTTCATAGTGGAACTCCTCCACCTCATGTACCAAACAATTGTAATAATGATAGTCAACCTAGACCAGCTACAATAAATTTAACTTTGGGTAGTCCTACATCTCAAATGTGTAAGTATATTCAATTATAATATTCAAATATAATGTAATAAATTATTTATATAATTTCATTTTGAAACTATCAAAGTATTTTTACATATTTAATAGCTATAACAGTATCTCCAAATACACCTATTCAAAATGGTGATACACAAACAATGCGTACTGCTCAAAGTAAAATTGAAAGCATTAAAAATTGGAGTATTTCTACATATAAGTGTACAAGACAATTAATGTATGAAAAACTTGGAAAAACATCCCGTACAGTAGATTCAGGTAAGTTTTATGGAATATAATTCAATATAATTATTTTTATTTATTATATAATTATAATATCTTTTTGTTTATAGAACTTGAAACTCAAATTGAGTTATTAAGAGATACTCAAAGAAAGTATTGTAATGTTTTACGGTTATCAAGAGCATTAGCTTCTCATTTCCATCATGTTGTTCAAACTCAACATGCTTTAGGAGAAGCATTCTCTGAATTAGCACAGAAATCTCCAGAATTACAAGAAGAATTTTTATATAATTCAGAAACTCAAAGAAATTTAACTAAAAATGGTGAAACATTATTAGGGGCCTTAAATTTTTTTGTTTCTTCAGTAAATACACTTTGTAATAAAACTATTGAAGATACATTATTTACAGTACGGCAATATGAAACAGCAAGGTAATTATTAATGTTATTTGGAAAATTATATATATCTTATAAATATTTATAAGTAAAAAATATTTAAATACAGAGCAAAATGTTTGATTACAGAATAGAATACGATGCCTATAGGACAGATCTTGAAGCATTAGCACAAGTAACAAAAAACGATAGTAGCAATGCAGCAAGATTAGAAGCAGCACAGGCTAATTATGAAGAACATAAACAAAATTTTGAAAAATTAAGATCAGATGTTTCGATTAAACTTAAATTTTTAGATGAAAATAGAGTATGTCTTTTCTATTTGATTACGTTAAAATATTGTATGTTATAAAATTTTTTTATTTTTATTACAGATCAAGGTAATGCACAAACAATTATTATTATTTCACAATGCAGTATCTGCTTATTTTTCTGGAAATCAAACTGCACTGGAAGCCACACTGAAACAATTTAATATAAAGGTTAAATCACCAAATTCATCTTTACCATCATGGCTTGAACAGTAGTTACATTAGAAGAAATAAATTTAAATAATCAGACAAACATGAATAAAAAATACATTCGTCCATACGAATTTTTCCTCAAAAATGAAAGGGAATTACAAAATAGAACGACTTTTAAAAATTTTCAAAAACATACTAAAAAACACTGCTATCAAGTAATTTATTAAATTCAATAATTTTTGGAACAAGAATGAATTATCATAAAAAAAAATAGACTGAATTTTTTTTTAATTCTGCTTTAAATATTGGCCAGTATCTGTGATACATGGCATATGAATCTTAATTATATAAATCTATGCAACAATTAAGAACATCTATTATAACATTTGTTCTTTTTATTCAATAGTGATGCTTACAAAACAAGGCAATAGATATTTAATTTTTATATTTGACTTCTTAGAGAAGTTCTAATGTAAATACATGAATTTATCATATATTGAGCTTTGAATTTTATGGTATGTACAAAATAATATTTTGATTTATCTATATTATATTTTGCATCAATTTAATGAATGTTTGGAAATGAATAATTATTTGATTAAATTTAATTAGTTAAATTTAATGAAAAAAATTTGCAATTAGATAATTCTAATATTTTTCATTCCATTTTAAATATTAAGTGGATTTTAATTAAGGTTTTTCTAATGACTAAACAGAAGTGTATTCCTTATTTATATATATATTTATTTATGTTATAAAATTTAACATAATTAAAAAAATTCCATGTGAATTTTTAGTACTTCCAAGTGTACAGGATATTCATAAAAAGTTATATAAAATGTTAAAAATATATAATATTAATTAAAATTAATAAAAAAGTATTAATATTTAATAAATATAAATCCAGGAACGTTATAAATATTTCCATTTTTTATTTATTTATAAACATATTTAAAAAATATAATATGTAATATATGTTTATATACATATATAATATAGAGATTAAAACATTGAGTAGAAGATTACATTCAATCTATGATTTTCATATAAATATGGCAATTTTCTTAAAACATACATAATATTTGATAAATGAAATTTACAATTTGGATTTATGTGTATTAAACAATCTTATTTATTTTAATAAGTATGATATTAATACAATAATTTATGAACATTCTGTACATTTTAGTTATTATATTTAAATATTAATTTTATTTATTATTTTCTTATATCCATTATTTTTTATATCAAAAGCAAATGTTATTTTTTGAAAAAAAATAGAAATGAATCACATGTTTACAGTTTAAAGCCTAAACATATTTTTAAAATAATGATACTTTGTTTGTGCAATTATATAATATTTATATAAAATTGCTTATAAATATGTTCATTTAATTTTTTAAATTATTAATTAGTTTTTATTTATTAATATCAAAAATAATCTATGATTATAACAGAAGTATAAATCTATACAGAAAAAATTACTTTTAATATATTAAAGAATAATATGTAATTTAATTTAATTTAGAAAATTTTTCGAAATATTTCAAAGTATTTCAATACAGAAAATATAAATTTATTTATTTATAGTAATATTTTTTCATTAAAAAAATAATCTATTTTGATTAATACATTTAAATAAAAAGAAAATATTTAACAGATTCAAACTAGTCATATATTTTAAGTGAATAAAGATCAAATGAACTTGAATCATGACTTTATATACTTTCATATACATTGACATTATTTATACAAATATTTTTTTTGAAACAGCAATATATATTATATATATTGAAACATTATAAATCATTACGCTTCGTGAATAGAAAATTTTTAGTATAAATATAACAAATATATGTACATTGTCATTATTGTTTGTTGCTTATACTTAAAGTTTACACTGACATTGATAATAACTTAAACCATAAAAATAAATCTATTAGTATTATGATATCATCAAAACATTTTATCATATGTTTTCAAATCAACTCTTCCAATGTGATCATCATATAAATTTTCAAATACATATATACATATAATATGTATAAATGAATTATATATTGAATATGTGTATAATTCAGTATATTTTTCTAATTTTTGTGAATTAAATCAATATTTATTTATAAAGCAAAAATTATGATTCATAATGTGATATTTTAATATTATAATTTAAATTGACTATATAATTTCCAATTCAATTTTTTTATCATTTACTATGATTTTATATTCTCTTACTTAATAGATTTTTTAGAAATGTTTAGATCAATAAAGATAAATATTGTAATTGAATTAAAATAAAATCTTATATTTATTAAATAGGAATAAGATTGAAAAGTAACATGAAATAACTTGAAATATACAGTTAAAGCACTTTTTAATTTATAAAACATATTGTAGCTACTATATTATGTTCCTAATCATGATGTTATTGTGTGTATATTATGTGTATACAAACTCCAAACAATAAATGAATGCTTATATATCTTGTTTTTTATAGAATTTTTGTTAATTACTAGTACCATTTTTATCTAAATATCAAATTTTTATTTAAAAAATAAAAGTATATTTATATTAAAAAATATTAATTACATAAAAATAACTATGAAATATTTTATATATTTATTATTTTCATAGAATATAAATGTTTTGTAATATATCAATGTAAATAATAGTAAATAATAATAAATGCATATTAATTAAAATAGTTTGTACAAGAAAATAATTTCTAAAAATACAATAAAAAATCTACTTGATTTATAAAATTGACTACCTAGTACTTTCTGAATTTTGATCTTTTTGAGCCACTTCAAATGCTGCCTGAGCTTTTTGAAATTCTTCCACATTTTTTAAAGCGATAGTACGTTGTACATCCATAAATATTTCCATTATTTTATGATTTGCATTAATGTGCTTGCCCGAACAATTTTCTATACATTGAACCTATAAAATAAAGAAATATTATGATATAATTATATAATATACTATAATAAAAACAAATTTATAATATATACATATTTTTTTGTATGTATAATTATGTCAATATTTTTCAATTGTAATAAATATATATTTCATAAATAAAATCAATAATATAGTACAAGTCTAACCATTATAAGAACACACCTCTTCTGTAGATATATCTCTTGACATAAATGTATTTACACAAGTTTTAAAACATGTTTCAGACATTTGATTAAACAAAAGTTGAAAGTCTTTCATCTATAAAAATAACATTAATAAATAAAAATATGATTTTTATCGTTATTTTTGTATGCATCATATGAAATAGGTTAGAAATAAATAGTTGATTTATCAATACGAATTATTAATATTTAAGTACATTTCTAATAACCATGGCATCCATATTTAAATTGTCTATTTTAATTTTCAATTTAAATAATAAATTTACAATGTCTTGATATTTGCCGGTTTCACTTATATTCAAGTTATATCACGTGAGTTTACTTTAAATTAATAAGAATATTAATATCGATTATCGGTATATTTTGATCGATTTTTAAAAACATTAAAGAAAAAAAAAATAAATAATCTTAATTAAGGATTATTAATAAATGACACAATAATTTAATTTTTTTAATATCATAATTTATATAACTTTTCCCGAAATATATTAATAGCAAATAATATTTTAAATAGAAATATGTATTT